AAACTAATTCAAAACCTAACTTTATGATGCAAACCATGTAAGAGGAAATGTAAAATGATTTGAAAGCGTGATTCTGGATTAGGCTTCCAGTGGAATGCAAAACGATGAAGAAGGTATTCTAGAAGGGTCCATGTAAGAATACCTAATGTAAAAAGGACTGCCCAAATAATAAGGCCATCCAGAAATTCTGCAAATATACACATAACATGAAGTATCAATATACATAGATATATGTCACAAAATTTTGGAAATTTAATAGAATTATTCCTTCAAGCCGCTACATAAAATCAATATATTTAGAGTGTCTTAAGCCGATATTCAAATTTCTTGAGATCATATTATAAGTCCTTTGCATAGTCAATACAGAAAGTATAGAAACAAATATATTCTAAACCAACTTTTTTTTTAACGCGACAAATATTTAATTACTAATTAATTATTACTGGCGGCTTTTTCATAATTAACAATCTAAACAAACATTCAAGGAAAAGCGCCACAGATATATTTTAAGATTGAGAGTAAAAGTCACCATAGCTTTGGAAAATCAGTGCAAAGGCGCGTACTGTGAAGATGATCACCAAAGGCAACCAAACAAGTGGTACCACCCACCAACTTGTCCTAGTCATATTTTCTAGAACATCTGATTCGAACAATCGAAGTGTCCCATCGTATGGTTGGTGGATCCATGTCCAATATCGATCACCCAAATAGCCAACTTTATTTAAAATCGGCTTATCAGATAACAATTCATCATTTCTCTTCAAAAGCGAATTTTGCATTATTAAATATGCTATCATACTGATAACACTTGTCAAGCAATATTCAATTTTTTATCAAAACTTTTTAAAATAAAATAGAATGGTAAATGGTCGGTACACCAAGGTTTCTGCTTAATAAATATCTGGAATCTCTGCCATCTGCAGCGTTCCGGAAATGACATAATATGCAAACTCTTTCCATTTTAAATGATAACTTTCTTCCACGACAAGAATTTCTAAATTCAAAGATTTCAACCGTCACAGGCATAGCAATTTTCGGAAAATTGGAATTTTAACAGTGATTGTTTTAATTAAAACTTGAAGTATCGCATAAATAATATGCGATTGGTAATATCTTCATTCAGCGAATATCATAATATATTTCTTGTTCAAGTTTCCAATTATTTTTCTGAATGCTCTCACTGATAAATTATCACTCACAGTCAAATATTATCGACAACTATTCTGTGTTATCATATATTTGCAAAGACCAATATGTACTCATTTTCTGACTGTTTTCAATTAAATATGAATATATCAGTTACAAGAAAGTTTTAATATTAGTAGTAAGAGAACAATTTATTATCATTTATAATCAATTATTGTATGTCGAAAAATTATTGAGCGTTAAGGAAAAAAAGAACCATTATTATTTATGAAAACATTTATTACTTTTCGAGACATTTACTACATATAATGTAGTCTCAGATCAAAGCAGCAAACCTTATAGCAATTGTAGACAGCATATTTTTCCAGCATCCGATACGCAGTTGCTGAATGTGCGTGTTTAACACCGAGAATACGTTTACTACCATTCATATATTCATCTACATCTTCACCAGCTAAGTGCTTAAGCACCTGAAACAAAATAATAAAATTTATCAGCATAGAATTATAAACATTCTCTATCAATCTTTATAAATCTACAATCATTACTTTCATTTATAATAATATGACTGTGCTAATTACTTACTATTATCCTTGGTTATTTTTCTTTGATCAGATGTTTAAAACATAAACATCTGATCGTAAAAATCACTTTCCCTTAAATATATTCTATGTAATACTAATAATAATATCATAGCCCCAGGTAAGATCATACAGTGTTTTTGCTTTCAGTGCTTTATGACGTTATTGCCAAACCATTCCGACTGATGAAATGATTCAGAGTTTCACAAAATTAGCTTAGAAAAATAACGGATTTAAATATCTTATGTTTCAAATATCTCAAAAACAAGAGCAAAAAAAAAAATAAAAATAAAAATAAAATAGAAAAACCTTCTGTCCTCCAGGATGTTTCGATGCAAAGAGCGCTATGTCGTATAATATTCCGTTAAGTCGTAATAATAATGGTCTTTCTCGCAAATTACGAACTTTCGTAGTATCCTTATCTCCTCTCACCCTGTCGTTTTCAGTATCATTCAATACCATCACTTAGACCTATCGAAATGAGAAATCCTGAATGAAAATTAACAGTATATGTCATTGCTAGGTACAGTACGAACAATATGAGTATACCGAAATACTTACAATGATATTGCTAGTACAAGATGAAGAGATAAGTAATCAGTTAAAATTGATCTATTTAAAAATTTGAATGATAATAAACTTGTGTAAAATGATAAATTTGTATTTGAAAATCAACAGAAAAATGTAACCAAACAGCGCTAAATAATGAAGTGGTTGCTCGCAAATGAGTAAAAAATCTATGAACACATAACTGACAAATAAATATAATGAATAAATAAATGAACAAGTAAATCGAAAAGTAAGAAGTAATGTGTCTACAGTAATAGAAATAAAAATACTACAAAATAAATAGTGAATAATTAAATGAGCAAGTAACCAAGATAGCAAATAAATAATTAACCAGATAAATAAATAAATAAATAAATAAGCGAAAGCAAATAACTAGCAAGTAACTAAGCAGGTAATTAAATGATTAAAAAATTGATAGATGTTGCAGGTGAAATTTGTGTGATACGATGGATTGTTAACGATAATCAAAGATTTAAGCGTGTATGCACATCCAATGAATAACAGTAATTATTAAGATTTGTAGAGAGATCAATAATTACTTATCAGAAAGATTGCCGATGGCTTATCAGCGCTGTTCAGTGTAATAATCCTTCCGATGATAATGATAGTAATGGTGCAACCGTATGATCGTTATATGGATCTGTCATCCTCCGTAAATGTTATCCATTCCGTTACAATTCAATCTGGAATGACTTTCACCACTTTATCGATCTTCTAATGTATTATCATTTTGTGAGAGGAATAATTACATATTTCAAATGTTTTCCACAATTCTCGCAATTTCTCTACAACTCTCATATTATTGCTCTAAAAATTTCAGAAATTTTAATTGAATTCAAATTAGAGTGGCAAATGAAATTTAAATTTCAACTAAACAAAACACGGACGTCCCCTACACTGTATACAGTCATCTGTTGACTGTATATGAAGTTTGACCTAACTGTAAGCAAGTGATGAAACATCAAACGATGACACATACCGGCACAATGACTACAAAAAGAGGCGGCGGTTTCTGATGCCGTAGGCTATGTGCTATATTGCTTATTTCGGTGCTGTATGGTTTGTTTATTTCTTTTCCAGAAATTTCCAGAAAATCAATTTATTCCCATCCGCTTCTTCTTTTCTTCACTCTCTCTCTTCCCCTCTCTCTCTCTCTCTCTTTCTCTCTCTCTCTCCTTCTCCCTCTCATAACATCTATTTGCTATGGAATGTAACATAAAAGTGTAGAAAATGTGTTGGAGAATTAATCCAGCCCAATTCTGACATAAAATATTAAAATTGCATTCAGCATTTGATAAATTCAATTCCCTTTTTATTTCTCTTTAAAAATGCCTTTTATATCAATTCTCCCAAATACAATATCGTATATATTGTAATCGAATTTAATTTCTTTCATATATCTTTTATATAATGTATTCAGTTTAATTTATTCTATATTATCAATAATTAAATACTTACATACGAATTTAGAAAATATATCAAAAGATTAAATTAGCCTTATTGTGAAATGAATTATTTCACATTCATACTCTTGAATAGATATTCCGTAAGCATATGATAACAAATTGTATTCATTAACATCAGTTTGTGAAGAATAAAAGAAAAAATTGAAAATTGCCCGAAGCATTCTTCCTGTTATCATCACGGGAAAAGAAAAAAAACGGAAGAAATACCTATAAAATGATTGAATATTGTCGTTAAATACAGCGTGGGAATACAAAAGGAAAAAAAAAGGAAATAGAAAAGTTGTTATTTCATTATCTATAAATAACGGTTGGCAAATGTGAGCAATGATCGAAATCAACAATTTTGTTATCGCACAAAAAATACCCGAAGAAAAAGAAAAAGGTCATCGATGATTTCTTATCATTGGAATACGACGAAATTAAAAAAAGAACACGAGGATGAGTAAATAAATTGTATG